AAGGAGGAGTCATAGCCACTGGCCATTGCCACGGACACGCCCTTCTAACACTGCAACACAGTCATCAAATCTTTGTGAATCAAGGCAGGGATAGTGAGTGAGCTTCTGACGAGTACAGGACAATGGCAAGGACATGTACGTGGGGATGGGGGTTAAAGTACCTTTGCAAGAGGAGAGCCCTCTTCGGCTGCAGCGATCTCCCACCCATTCCCCACAGCCCCTCCTTCCCAAGGGTAGATGTATCTCCCACAGAAATGCACGTGAGTGAGAAAGGCAGATGGAGGAGGGGCTGGCTCAGCCACACCCTCCGTGTGATCAGGGCTGTGAGGGGGCAGCACTTAGTGACACAACCAGGAATGGGAAGCTGCCCAGGGTGGCTCCGTGCGGTGCCCCCCCAGTGTGGTCTCCCTGGGGCTCTGCCCTCGCTGCACACAGACGACCAGAGCCGCAGGCACGGAGAATGCCCTCAGTAATCTCTGCGGTCGGACAGCAGGGCCCCAGCCTTCACCACACCCCCCGGGGGGCCGGAGCCCTTTCCTCAGGAAAGGGACATGAACACCCGTCATTATACCACACTTAGAGGCTCCCTCAAACACTGGCTGCCAATGAAGGTGCCATTAGAACAAAACCAAGCTGCTTGCTGAGCCCAGACTGTTGCTTTGCACTGCAGGGAAGCAGAGCGTTGGTTCATTTTCTCCGAGCCTGAAAAATGTGAGGAGGCCTGTTTTTATATTCTCACTGGGACCTAAGACTGGAGTTTTAGCATTGTTTCACCACTTAATACCCCCCTTTAGAGTACATTGAAGCAAAGTCAGCGTGTAAGTGAGGGAGGCATTTTTAACATCTTTAAGAATCAAATCATTTAAAGAGTGACCCTTCCACGTCCAGTCCCACATGTGGCATGTCAGGGAAGGGTACGGCCATATGCAACCTTCTGCTGCAAAGCAAATCATCAGAAACATGGGCCACACGTTTTCTGTGATGTATATTATAGGGACTGGACAATAGAACAGAAAAAGACTTCCGGAAATCAGCAACAAAAGGGAAGGGATGAGAGACACAGATGGCCTATATGAGAGGAACGCTCGTGACTAAGAATTATCCACAGTTGCCATTGTCACAAGACACGGTTTATTTTAAGATAGACCAGTACTGTTGGAGTGCCATAAGATTTTCCCAAGCACTGGAGGGCACATTGGAGTAAAAAAATGCTACTTTGGTGTTACATAAAAATTAAATTGTTTTTAAAGTTCAAAAAATGCCATCAACATATAGGGCAAAACTTTGGAAGGAAATGCTCCAAAAACGTCACCACAAGTCCAAGCGGAGGAATGTAGGAGAGTTTTACTTTCTTCTGTGTGATGTTCTATAGTGTTTGATTTGTTTGTGTTTTTTTTTACCGAACTTTTTTTCCCTGATAACACTGAATTTTTGAAAACCGATTTATTGATCATTTGCACGTCTAATTTTGAGACTTGTTTATTCATGCCATCTACCCATTTATATAGTGGGATCTTAATGTTTTTCTTATGAGTGGTAAGAGTTCTATTTTATTTTTTAAAATAGTTTGCTAGTTTCTTCCACTTTAATTTCTTTATGTCAAATTTCTTTTCAAAATGATTTGTGGGGCCTTTAATCTTTTCACGCTTGGATGTGCTCGGAAATCACCTGCCTGAGGAGTTGTACAATACAGATGTGGGTGCGGTCGACCTGAAGTAAAGCTGCATTTCCACCAAGCTCACGGGTCCAGGACCACACTGGGAGAGCCGTGGACCTTGGGGCGTTGATTTAATGCCTTCAGACTGTGGTGTCCAACCTTTGGCATCTCTAAACCACACTGGAGGAAGAAGAGTTGTCTTGGGCCACACATTAAATACACAAACACTAATGAAAACTGATAGGCAAAAAAAAAAAAAAGATCTGTGCATAATTTTTGTGATATCTACTACCAGCGATAAGCACAAAAGTCCTCCCATAATAACCCTAATTATGCAGAAGCCTTTTATATAAGCTTTTAAAATTGTCCAGCAGGTCCCAAGTTTGTGATCACTGATATAGAAAATGTACATATCTAAGTTATAAAACTTAGTAATAAAACTAAGGAATGTCTTAAGTAAATTTACGATTTTGTGTCGGGCCGCATTCAGAGCCATCCTGGGGACGGACACCCCTGCCCTAAGAGTCTGAAGAAGAGGCCAACCACCAGGGAGAACCAGTTAGAATTTGAAGGAGCCCACGCCAAGGGTGCTCCTAACGCTCCTCTCTAAACCCGCTCCCCAGAGCACATACTCCACCACCAGGGATGAAACACACTTCTTCAATGGCAAAATGTTCTGGTATTGAAGGTATGTCACCACCGGCAAGAAAGGCTGAGGCACCTCCGCCTCTTCCCTGCAGTTAATCTCCCTGCCAATCCATCACTAGAAAAACAGGGGAACTTAAAACCTGCCCTGCTCCTGTGAAAATACTTGGTAATGTATTTTACCAGCATTAATTATGACTTTTTTCCACCTGGGAATAAAGCAAAGCAAGCCAGTGGGGCGTGAACTCCTCTGACACATGTGATTTTCACACTCAGTAAATAGATTAACTAATCTATTAAAACACACACACAAATGACAGGCTGGAGGAGTAAAGAGCAGCTGCAAACTCACTGGCACTTCTTTCTCACTTTAAAGAGACTGGTTGGCTGTGCTGAGTGGAGCCGTAGGTGGAGCCCAGTTCACATCTGGGAGCTTTGTTCACATCTGGCTGTGCTGACCCAGACTGCTCCTGTCTGTCCATCAGCCACACTGCTGGCTTGTCCTGGGGTTGGGAAACACTGAGCACCCTGGGTCCTTTTCAGTGACTGGCATTCAAACCACAGATCATACTACCTGGCAAAGTCCTACATTCTTTCAATCCCCCTTTCCCAAAGCACAGGCTCTCAGGCCACTCTGGACCGGGGGGGGGGGGGGGGGGGGGGGGGGGGGGGGGGACGCCTGGGAAGATGGCATCTGAAGTGAAGCCCTGCCTCTCTTCCCTGTATGCTGAGCTGGTGCATCTGTTTCTGGGGAATGAGTGCATCGAGGTGGCTCAGAGACAAGTCCATTTGGGGCACTTGGCTGTCACTGTTACCTTGAGTGGAGTGATGCATTCTAAACCTGGGAGGTATTCTACAATGTCCTGTGTCTCTTAAATGTTGATCTTAGAACAGTCAATTCAGTTCCAGCCAACATGAGTCCTTACTGGACTCCCTGAGGTGTGAAAGGAGAATAAAAAAGGAGTCCACTTGCTCCCAGAGAGCTTGTAAACTAAGTGGGGAAGCAATCACACAAAGTCCAATATAAAACAGGGCAAACTGAAAGTCTCAGGGGACTGCTACAGAGACCCACGGAGGGACCAGGGCTCTGCATCCAATGCCCAGGCTACAGCCAGTGGCCAGGCTCCCCGCTTCTCTCTCCTACACCCACAGTCTCATCTGGCAAGACTCCCTCCAGCCCATTCTTCCCACCTCACTGCTACACCCTGGTCCATGCCGTCATCCCTCCCCTGGGTCAAGCAGTGGTCTCCTCTCTGGACCCTGTTTTTTCCTTTGTCCTTATTTGATTCACAGCTTCAACTCTTCAGAAAACACCCCCTTTTGGGTACAATCATCCTGGCTATTTCAAATCTCTGACATGCGCTCAAATACACACAGTCCAGAACCACTTGCCTGTTGTTCTTCCCCTAGCATTCACCACTGTCACGCTGTACTTCCCGCGTTCACCCTGCTTACTGTCTCCCCCACTGCAACGGAAGCCCCGCGAGGGCGGCCAGCTGCACCGCTCTCTGCATTGCTTACAGCGCTGGAGGGCTGACCGACACACAATGGGTGCAGAACACATTTTTAAGGAGTGAATGAAAAAACCCGTACCCTCCTCCCTCTCCCTTTTATCTTGTGAATAGGGTGTGAGAAGCCTGTTTCCACCCCCCTTCTTTTTTAAAATAATTTCTGAGAGCTTAGAATAACTCTCCGGATCTTTTAAGTGTCAGATGAACCCACATTCTGCCGAACTCCTTAAAACTCCAGCCCAGGGGGTGGGCTGGGATGGGAGTAAAAGACAGAAAACTGTATTTGAACAACAATTAAAATAAATAAATTATAAAAAAACCTTTAACCCAGATCCTAGTATAAAATGGTAATGAGCTTCCTTCATGTCATTGTTTGGAATGAAGGAAACACGAATTAATTTGTTCTTCCTTTCAGCTAAATTAACCGTAGAAGCTGCAGGTTCGGAAAAAGTGCCTCTGACTTCGGAGTGTAAGAACGTTTTCTTTAGTGAGCAGGAGGGGAAGGAATGCTGTTTAAAATGCCAGCCACGGGATAAAAATACGTACATCTTCGGTGGTTAATATAAAAATTGTTTTCCTGATTTCCAACATTACTGTCCATGTTAATTGACTTGGGAAGCAGTAATAAAACTGAAATTTTTATCACACGCATTTCAAGTTTATTTTGAGGTACATCATAATTCAAAATAGGAAGTTTTGCATCTGTCCATGGTACCAGCGGAACACAAATGCCCCAGTTTTCAGAACCATCTGAAAAAACCTTCCCCAGCTAGGGTGGGGAGGGGGTGAAAGAAAAACAAAACAAAACAAAACAAAACAGAAGAGAGTAGGGGGTGGTGAATGCTGCCTCTCAAAACAGCAGGTTCTTCCTTTTTCCCAGCCACCTTTTACAACTTCAGGAAATTTTGTAATCTCAATAGAAGGACCTCGTGGTAAGACACACTCCCTTTCTCTCCATTGTTTCCTCCCAAACCCTGCAGCCCTGGAGTGTCCTGGCTCCCTTGAAGAGCTCCTCCAAAAGGAGGCCTTTCAAGAGTAGATTACAGCTGATTGCAGAGATTCCTGAGGCAGTTCACCGTGAAAAGAGACGCAGAGAGCAGACGCAGCACCCACGTGACTCCCCCACTGCCCTCCGTCCTCAGCCCCCTTCCATTTCTCCTTCAGTGGGAGAAAGGGGCTAAGGGGAATGAAGGTTTATTTCCAACACCAGCTGGGGAATGCTATAAAAAGGAAAAAAAAAAGAGTTACCCTCTTCAAAAGCAAAAAGACTCCCCATACCTGCAGCACAAGAAAAACGATGTTTGGGAATGGCTGGTTTCCAGAGAAGTCTGAATGCCTCCTGATGCCAGGGAAGGAATGAGAGAAAAAAACGGGCTGGCGCCCCAACTTGCACAAAAAGGCAGAACGGGTACATGGAGGCGAGTCGTGGTGCGATGACCCTTAATTGCGATCATCACTGATGGCTGCTTGTGGGTGTGAAATGCAAATTATTCACTAACACTGCAGTTGGTCTGTTCCACTGAACTATTGCTATGAAGATACAGATCGGGACCAATGGCTGTTGCGTCGCTACCATTTGTTCTGCACATGATACTCCGTCAGTCTAGTGACCAAGTTGACTAAAGTGATTCTCCCACTTTTCTAGAGCCTTATGGAAACTGCAAACCTCCTGCAAACCTTTGAATAGCTAAACTATTTGTCAGTAGTGATCGTGCCCTCAACACCACAGGTAAGAGCCTCGTGCTGAACACCCGTAGGCCAGAGGGACCTAATTCAGTGTGTAGCCCCTCGCCTGAATGGACATTTCTGCTACTGCCCCCGATTTTTCACTATGGAAAATGTCCCTTCGATGGACATTTGACCATGGATACCTCCACGCACGTGTGTATCTCTCTACGGAATTAAATCGAATTTTGTCCATGATTCTCACGTGACTAGTGTTGGAACACAGCAAGGCAGAAACAGTACATGAAGTGAGGGGTGGGGGGTGGGAAGCTGAGGGAGTGTCTGGAGCAGCACTAAAGAACAGAAGCCATGTGGTTGGTGGCCTCAGAACTGCCTGAGGCTCAGGGAAGAGCCATCTCCCACTGGGCCACCAAGGTGCCCCCTCGTGGAAACAGACCAATTTGCCCAAAGTCCATTTGTCTAAACCCACTTTGCAGAATTTACTTGTTTCTCTTATTATTTAGGAAGTTTTAGCAGTTTGTTTGGATGTGCTGGTTTTAAAAGCTAATTGTGCCTGGTTCTGAGTGAGCAGTTCTGAGGAATGGTTGGTTTGTTTCTGCCCCGGCCCCCTGCAGCTACAGCTGGGAGGAGCGGGACACCAGCTTTGCCTACTGGATGGTCCACTGAGGGAGCAGCCACGGGGCAGCGGGAAGGTGTGGTGGGTGGGAGAGGGGGGCCATTTGACATTCATACATCCATACTTTGATTAGAGGCACTGCCTCCCAGTAGAAATATTCTCCAAGTATAGAAATACAGTCATTCTACTGCACACAGTAAAAAAGTTATTTAAAACATATGCTGAAGAATAGTGAATGTTTATATTCATTAAATACATTCCAGAAATCATATATTCCTAAAGTAACCTTATATGACCTGACCGACTGAATATTCCTTAAAATGATGCTATCAGGACAGAGGCAGGCCAACTAATACATAGCAGAGATTTTCCAGAGCCGTAAACTTCATGACAGAACCAACACGAGTGGCCATGAACTTTACAAACATTAAGGAAACAAGTGAATCTGGAAAACTGATTAATGGGCAAAAAGAACCAAAGTATTATAACACATACTAAGACCTGAGGTTCATTCTAATGACAAAGAAAGGGTTAAATTAGGAGTAAGTGCAGCCTCCTTTACTTAACAAAAAGGTATAAAAAATGAAATGTGCAGTATCTGTCAGATTTACACCAAAATCAAACTTCTCTGATTCTTTATATTTAAGGAATAAGATTTAGTCTTTTAAAAATTGTTTCATATATAAAGCTCATTCCTATCTCTGTAAACTTTATCTGTAATAACACGTATGAGCAACTGGACCGAAGGAAGACACCCAGGGATGGCCACCGACAGGGAGTCCGCAGGACGTGAAAAGGTACAAGATCCCATCTTGCATATTATTTGAACTTCACCGATGGTCAGAACTTCATAGAAGTCCTTCAAAACTGGTCTTTCTGAATGCGGTATAAAGATATAATCAAATCTTTCTTTGATAATGCTGTTCGAATTTAAAAAATACAACATAAAACCTCGAGTCCTAGTCCGGAAGAGCAGAACGGCGCAGTGCCCAGTCTGAAGGAGTGGAGGGGTAGGGGCGGAGCCAGAGTGAAGCATGGGAGGTTCTCAGGAACATCACAGCCCAGACCAGTGAGTGATACAAAGGAAGATAAAGGTAACAAAAGCCAGCCAGCAGAGTTAAGTAGAGAATGGAGACACAATGCGATGTAGCTACATTCAGTGTGGAGAACCATCTGGAGGGATGTAAGATACTTGATAAATGTTTGTTGAGCAGGCACAAGGATAGGAAATCTGTTAAGCTGCTATATTCATCAAAAATGAGGTAACTGGTCTGGCTGATGTAGCTCTGTGGATTGAGCACAGGCTTCAAACCAAAGGGTTGCCAGTTCGATTCCCAATCTGGGTACATGCCTGGGTTGTGGGCCAGGACCCCAGTAGGGGGTGCACGAGAGGCAACCACACATTGATATTCCTCTCTATTTCTCCTCCCCTTCCCCTCTTTCTAAAAATAAATAAATAAAATCTTTTTTTTTTAAATGAGGTAACATGCATGGCTTGAACTGATGAAGTACTTTGCTAACACTACAGGTGACAGGTAGACCAAGAAAAGTATCATTAAAAATCTTTCAATCTTTCTTTAACATATCAGCTTTAGAAACTACCAATGACTCCTCACCTTCCAGAACCTTCTGCTCAATGACCTTTACCCATTCACTGCTGCCAGGACAGACCTTACGTCCTCCTATTTTATGCTTTGTCTCCTGGGGTCCTGTGGTCTCCCTCGCCCTTCCCAGAGCCTCTGTTCTTCAATCTGCCCAAATCTGCCCATGTGTCAAGACCCGTGAAGCTAGTCTGTTGGGCCCAAGGATCTCCACAGGCCCCGCAGCCCTGGCATCCAGGGTTCTTGTCTTCCTGGACTACTCCAGTCCGGGAGGCTCCTGTTTTTACTCTCATTTCCTGTGCCAGAACCACACCCGGCCACTCCAGCTCATCATCTCTATGTGTGCGGCCGACTCCTCACGCATTTGTGCCTTTTCCTTGGATGGTGAGACTCTGGGGGGCTGCCAGGGATTTACGACAGTCACATGCCTCCCCCGATACCTAGCACAATGCCTAATGCACCCCTATTCAACACACACACACCTGGTAATATACATGCATTTTGACTGTTTTTATGTCAAAGGAAAAAAATCACTTGACCTCTTAGATCTCAGTTACCTCTTCTACAAATAAAGAGCTTCAGTTTAATGATCTCTTGGTCATTTATGGTCCTAAGATTCAATGAAAAGTAATTAATATTCAAAACGAATCAAATAATCTCCTTTAGTATCCATTTCACCAGGTTATTCCCACTTCAAAAAATTACCATGAACTCCATTGCGAACCTCACCAAATCACACGACTCCAGCCGGGCCTTTCTGAGCCCTCTTGCAGGCTTCAGCCTCGGCCTGTGCAGACTGGAACAAACACCAACGCAGTTTCTAACAGCCCCAGGCTGCACCCCCAGGACAACCCCATGGCCCTTAAAGTGTGTGCCTGAGAACACCCAAGGCCGCTGAGAGAATTTGCTGTTTGTTCCAGCAGACACCTGAAGACCGGGCCTCTGTCTCCCAGCTGCAGCGGGAGGGTAGGAACCTGTCTTTGATAATTTCCAGTTAGCAAACTCAGATGGGGCTCCCATGGACCAACCTCTCCGCTCACTGGCTATAATGTTCCACTTCCCTGACTCTGCGGAGCCCTGCTCAGCCCTCTCAGTTCCCTCACTCACTCTCAAAACTGCCCCTCTGTACCGATTGACATTGAGCACAGTTTATGCTGGACTCTTCTCCCTCCAGCGGCGGTACTGGACTGACTAAACTCTGCCCTTACCACTTTAACTAGTGCCCAGCCTTGTTTTTCTTTGACATTCCATCCAGTTTAGGGACCCATCTTTAATGGGGGCCACTCCAGCCAGCCAGCCTCAACCTCCTCCCCAGCCCAATGGAGAAGCTGCGTTTGAGCATCCTCACGCACACCCCCTGCTTCCCCCTCCTTCCTCACCTTCTCCTGGAGCATCCCATCCTCCTGTCTCACCAACTCCACATGCCTGCACAGACTAAGACCCATCCTCACCAGACAACTCCGCCACGACGGCTACTTCTCGTCTTTGACCACACCATACCACCCAATTCGCCATTTAGTCGGACACTCCGTGAAAGTGGTGCAGCATGCAGTTCTTGCTTCCCCAACCAAGGGTAGGCAGTTTTCTGACAAAACCCTCATCCTGTGCTTCTTCCATACCCTGGCAGCTGCAGGAACATTCCTTGGTGAAGAAAGTGTTCAACAAGCCCTTTGGTTTCACTGACCTGCACTCCCCCACAATGAAATGCTGTATCCAGCTTGGCTCTTTCCACTTAGGAACCATTGCTTTTGGAAGGAAGAAAGGTCAAGAGACTGAATTATACATCAAAGAAAAACAATTTGCTTCCAGATTCCTAATTTTTCCCGCAACTTGCTTTGAAGTGGCTGAAGGATGTGAAATTACTCTTTGATCATGGGGATTCAGTGACTCAAACGGGCTTAAAGATCTGACTGAAACGCCAAGTATTGTACAGCCCTTGCCTGGGTACCCGGCGGGTCAGCGGGGGAGGCCAAAAGACAGACTCTGCCCTGAGCAACATCTTGGAAAGTAGGGAATTCAAATCCTTTCATCTTTGGTCTCGGAGGACTCTGAGAAAAGGGCACTCAGGAAACGAGACGTGGCTGTGCCATCTCTCATGAAGAAATCGCCTCATCTATGGCCTCTTCATCACTCTAGGCAGGCAGCCCAGACTCCGAGCCTGCATGCCCTCCCCAGGCACACGCAGGTCTTAGTGCTGTGGGAAAAGGGGTCCCCTCTGGGGCCACCTGCCCTGGCCTCCGGCTCACTCCGCCGCACCCTGCCAGTGGCGTGGCCTCCACCATGCCCGGTCTGGCTATCAGTGATTCACACAACATCAAGGCTTCACTACCTCGTCAGTCTCGAGGCTCCCCCTGAGAGTTAGAACTCACGCCTACGGGCCTCTGGTCCGGAGGGAGGTAAGCCATACAGCCCCGATCTGGACAAACAGGGATGTTCAATATAATCACATTATAATTAGGTCATTTTATCTGGCCCAAAGTCCTCATGAGTCCTTTTCCCCTACAGGTCACGAACCCATAAACAAACATAATGAATGATGAAGAAAAATTTGCTTTCTTTCCTGTAATGAGGGGTTTTTCAGAGGGAAAAGAGGAAAAATATATGTGGCATATCTGTATTTTCAATAGAGAATAAGAGCCTTCAGGTTACTCAGTAAAATATGGCAAATTACAGAACATGACATTTCAATATCAGTGACAACTAGGGGCGAGTGGAGGGGCAAGGCGGGATTCGATCAACAGAAATAGAGGAGAATCAGGGAGAGACAGAGGGGCAACAGAAGAGAAAGCTAAGAGCACCCCTCCCATTTCACCATTCCCAGACCTCCCATGGGGGCCAAGATTCCCCAGATCCAGCCCTTTCACAGCTACCCATTCGGAGGAGCCCTCCTTGGATGAAGGCAGCTCCGTGAGCTCTCCTCCCTCCCCCGGGAGCCAGCCCAGTTTACCAGTGAGGGAAGCCACAGCACTAACCACTCCCTCGCTCACGTGGGCTGAGCTCTCCCACTCTGTCTGGTTGCACCGCCTGGCCTTTTCTGCCAGAGCACGTGAAGCTTGCCCTGTGTGGCCTTAACAGGCTTCATCCACAGTCCTGGTTCATCCAGGCCAACAGGGCACCCAGGGGTGGTGACGGGGATTCCCTCCGGTCCGCCTGATGGCATCGCCTTTCCCACCCCCGGCAGAGATGAACGTGCTTTCGTGCCCCCACCTCACCCCCGCCCTGCCCCGGCAGCCTGTGCAGATGTTCCTCAACCAGCAGCACCCAGTGGAAACGGGGCTGGTGCTCCCAGCAAAACTGCACTGTGGGCATCAGTCCAGACATGCTCATCACTGTGACAGACAAGTACCCGGGCTCAGTAAAGGGCTGGCAGGTGGACAGATGGGCCCCATAAGTGAATGAACCAACAAACTACATGAACTATA